ATACAATTCCGGCCGGGGGCTAAAGGCTCACCCAAAGTTTGTTTGTTATTGCTCATTTTAAAAAGGGGGGCTTAGGGGGAGGTCCCAAATCCAATAAAGAGGGAGAGTGCCAACCAACAGTCTTCATTCACTCTCTCTCTCTCTCTCTCTCTCTCTCTCTCTCTCTCTCTCTCTCTCTCTCTCTCTCTCTCTCTCTCCCTCTCTCTTTCTCCCCCCCCCTCTCTCTCTCCACCTCCCTTTCTGACAATTCCTCTTCTCCATCAAGACTCTTATTTTTGTTTGGAACCTTTCACGCTTCCCATAGAGCAAAAAGCTTAAAATCACAGTTGTCAAGCACCTCTATATAAATCAAACCATATTTTATATCAATATCACGTTGTTTATTCTACGCCCCCCCCCCCCGGCCACTCTCCGCTATCAGAATCTCACCACTATAACTGGTCTGTCCGTCCAGTGTCGTGCCCCAATTGACGATAGCTCGAGCTTCTTAAAAGCCAAGCTTCCTGTTTATCAAGGCTGCCAGCTAAAAGTAATCTCTCTTGCACACACGCACGCACACACACACACACACACACACACACACACACACACACACACACACACACACACACACACACACACACACACACACACACACACACTCTCACACTCACACACACACACACACACACGCACACTCACTTTAACTCACATACACCCACCCCCTTACACACACACTCTTTATCATGAGGAAGCACACAGTGGCACACACCGTTAAAAGTTTTTTTTCCCCGTCTTAGTAACAGTTTTAAGCTGACATTCCATATGCCCGAAAAACCGATGCCAATTTCGGGTTGGAATTTCGTGTGCGAACTATTTTTTTCGCACCAACCTTTTTGTCATTGTGTAAATCCATATACCGGAATTTCGCATGGCCGAGTCCGAAATTCGCATGCGAAGATTTTGTTTCGCACGAGGTAGCGAAACTTTTTTCTTCGGCACCCGAATTCTTCGTGAAGTGGGCGGTGCTAATTTCCCGCCAAATCTACTTCAAAGGAACGAAGCAGCATGGAAGCACTAGGTAAGTGGGAAAACGTCGAAATGTCGATTTCCTTGGTTCGAGAGAGAAGTGTTAAAACTGAGACTGAAAAGAGGTGTTTATTCTCAAGGTGGCTGTCATTTCCATGGCTACCACTTTATTTTTTTAGTTTGTGGGAAACTTTCGGGAGTCTATGTAATCTATCTCTGCTATCATTTATCGTTTTAATAACAAAAATAGCATTTCACTTACCACCCCCCCTGCCTCCTTAAATGCACTTGAATATAACTTCTAACATACATTAATTATAACTTAAGATTGCTGTCTGTTCCGCCGCCACATCAGCCAGCGCTTTTGGTGATAGGACCGTAGCTTCGAAAAGAAAACGACCCAAGAAAGCAAAGCTTATGAAGGAAGGACCATCATCAAGTCTGGACGAAGCAATTTAAAGCCTGCTTTCGTAGGAACAGGATTTCTTACAGCAAAATTATCTCGTTTTCAACGTAGAGTGCTTGCTCTGACTGAACTGGTGCCGTGATTTCAGTCAGAAAAGATGGATATGAATTTCGGGTATATTGAAGGAGGGCTCTTTTTTTCATCGCACACGAAATACACGAAATTCGCACCCGAAGTTCGCATCGGTTTTTCGGGCATATGGAATGCCAGCTGTACTTGCAACACTGTTATATAGGTAATTTTTATAAATGCCAAAGATTAGAGGTGTTACTAGAGGGTAACGAACACAGAAAAGAAGGAGGAGAGATTCGGATAATTAATGTTTGATAGGAAATAAGGAGCAGCAAGCTTAAACACACACACACACACACACACACACACACACACACACACACACACACACATACACGGGAATGTTTACACTCACATTGTACATGATATTACATTAACATGCATTTTTACACAATAAAATAACACATTTATTAATCGATTATGATATAAGTGTATAATCATAATATACTAAAGAAAACAGAAGTGATCGGAGATATCTCTAAATTCACACTTCAACTAAAATGGAAATTGGCTGATAGTGAGAAAGATAATCCTAATAGATAGACAAAAAATCATGCATTGAAAAGAGACCAAGAACTGGAAAAAGGAAGAGCAGGAGAAATGGAAAGAAAGAGGCAAGGTAACATCGAAAAGTGGACGGGTACAACCAGGATAGGGGGTTGTTGTTGGGGGGGGGGGCTTCATCCTGCAGTGGATGGACAACGCCAAGAAAGAAAGAAAAACAATATTATGTGTCAAGTACAGTATCTCTCTTTGAGCATTAGGTTAGCTTATTAAAATTTGGAGAGCCGGCAGGGAGAGGAAATGTGTGTGTGTGTGTGTGTGTGTTTGTGTGTGTGTGTGTGTGTGTGTGTGTGTGTGTGTGTGTGTGTGTGTGTGTGTGTGTGTGTGTGTGTGTGTGTGTGTGTGTGAGAGAGAGAGAGAGAGAGAGAGAGAGAGAGAGAGAGAGAGAGAAAGAGAGAGAATTAACACACACATACACATATTATAATATGTACACACAAAAACCCAACATGCACACGTACTGCATCCTCAACACACACACAAGCACACACACACACACATACACACACACACAAACACACACGTATATACAATAATATCATTAAAAAATAATATTATTATCATTATTGAAGTGTGCTTTCAGTAACAACATAATATTAAAACGAGTGTCCCTAGTTGTTTCTATCTCCTGCAGTGCTGTCTACATGCTGATACGATGCGACAACAGAGACAGGTGGCTCTTCATGCATTCTGCCTGAACCATATCGATAAGAATGTCATGACCTCAGACTATGACGTCAAAATTATGTACTACTCAAAGTTGTGGTTGTTCTCTGTTTTGTTTGTTAATTAGGTCACCTCTTATCCCTAGTCGCCTTCTTATCTGAAATTGCCATAAATTCATGGACTCTGTATTTGAGACAAGCTTAAGTGCATTGTCTCCGGTGGACGACAAGACCAACCGGTGAGTGCCACTAATTATGGGTAATTTTGAGCCTCGCACGGAAACAAAAACATGTGAGGATTCATTTAAAGCATTTGGGTCCACAAGTTAACCTAATTATCTTGGCGGACTTTTGGCAGAAGAGAGAGAGAGAGAGAGAGAGAGAGAGAGAGAGAGAGAGAGAGAGAGAGAGAGAGAGAGAGAGAGAGAGAGAGAGAGAGAGAGAGAGAGAGAGAGAGAGAGGGGGGGGCAGACAGACAGATAGATAGGACAGAGATAGACGAGGAGGGAGAGAGAGATAGAGATGGAGGAAAAGATACGAGTAGACAGACAGATAGATAGATAGATAGATAGATAGATAGATAGATAGAGAGAGAGAGAGAGAGAGAGAGAGAGAGAGAGAGAGAGAGAGAGAGAGAGAGAGAGAGAGAGAGAGAGAGAGAGAGATCGTGCTTCTAAACCC